CATGTAACGTAATTAATGCATATTAATTCACATAACGCGGTATTTGAAGTCGCGTTATGATTTTCTTTGTACATCGCGAATAATATAAATAATATTATTGGGATGACTATTGTTACGTGGAATTTTGATTTCTGTGTTTCACGAATCAACACAATGGAATAGGTGATGCAGGTAATAATGCTATGCTCGAATAAAGTAAATTTAATTTTTAAACGAGAAGAATTCCCACATTTTATTGCGTGACGTGTTACATGAGAATCGCGTTATATAAAAAAGTCGTTGAAGTGTCTTTAGCACCTTGTAGGAAATTGTATTATACGGGAGTTAACTGCATATGTCGTAAAAAGGAATTATTTACACACGATGAAAGTTATATTTCTTTGCTTATATGTTATTAATGAGAAGTATAATTTTATAGAGTGCTGGAATATTAAAATTTTGTGATAATGTATGTGGATATAATTGGCAGTGTGGAAAGAAATTTAATGTATAATGGAAATGATTATTCTAGTGATCAAATTTTTTTTAAATAATATTATGTATGTGTCTATTCTGGCACAAAAATTACTATTCTTGTTGCTATATTTCTGTAATTGTTTAATAATACATATATCCATCTAGAAAAATGGCAGTATAATGAAATTATATTTTATATGTTATTTTGTAAAGTATCCTGTTTGAAAATTTTTAACAATATACGTTGATGAACAATATACTGTTGCATGAGAAGGTTTTAATGAGTCATGGAAACGTTTATTATTGCACATTATTAAAAAGATTGCAAAGCTATCGCGGAGTTGTAAAAGAGAATTTGGTGACTAACAATAAGATAAAAGGTATTGATTTATCATTGTGTATGTGGGCTGTGCATTTGCAACGTCATAAACAATTAAGAATCACGAATTTCAAGAAATATTCTTCATTGTAAAAGAATCTGAAAATATGAGATAAATAAAAGAAGAGGACAGAAAGATGGATAAAGTAAAAAGGCAAGAAATGGAAAACTTAACAGAGTCGAGAGAAAATATTTTAAATAAATTCATTTATTTTCAAATATATATATATATATATAGTACCCTCAAAAATGCTCTTATATCTGAAAATAATTTATTACAATTAACAAAACCCAAAATATTCCATTCTTAACAATATACAGCCCTAAATATAATAGTATAATAAAGTAAATAAAAAGACAGGAAATAGATCACTTAAAAGAGCGAAATAAATTTTTCTAAAATAAATTTCTCTATTTTCAAATACATATATAATACCCTCAAAAATGCTCCTATTTGAAAACAATTCTTAATATATAACAAAACCCAAAATATTCCATTCTTAACAATATACAGTCCTAAATATAATAGTATAATAAAATTAATAAAAAGACAGGAAATAGATCACTTAAAAGAGTGAAATAAAATTTTTAAAAATAAATTCCTTTATTTTCAAATACATATATAATACCTCAAAAATGCTCCTATCTGAAAACAATTACAACAGAAATCATTACAAATAACAAAACCAAAAATATTCCGTTTCTAACAATATACAAGCCTAAATATAACAGTAAAATAAAATAAATAAAAAGACAAGATATAGAGCACTTAAAAGAGTGAAATAAAATTTTCTAATAAATAAATTAAAATCTATCTGAAAATAATTACAGCTGAAATCATTGCAACTTCAAAACCCAAAATACACAACCCTAAATATAAACATATAAGCATATAAACTAATAATACATAACCGGGTACAACAAAATGTTAAACACTATACACAGCTATCAGGAACGAAACGAATTCCAAGCTACCTGAAAGTTCACACCGAAGCGATGGTTACTTCCGATTCGCTCGGGTCTCAGCCTCTGCTTCCTCAGACTCCGTTCTTCGTGCGATTATTTCTACTATCACTCGAGCGAACTACTCATGAGAATTGCTCACACGGGATGTCCTTCCTTCCACACATCCTGCGACGCGTTCTTAAGCCGCCGCTGGATCTCATATAATGTCACGCTTCGCGGACGGCGATCATTTTCGTCGCGACTGTCACTCTTGGACGAAGTTTCGACTCGTCACGCGCGTTTCTGATCCTCGCCACGATTCGCGAGATTCGCAACATGACTCACGTTTGGTGCGACGGCCCGTTCTACGTGGACCATTCGAAGACCGCCGTCGACGTCCACCGATTGTTCCAATGTAATTCTCGTTAATTAAATTTTCCAATTTATGGTGAAAATCCGCGTCGATCAGTTCTAACTTGGCCAGTTAAAATTCGAATTCTCGAAAGTGAATCTTGTGTACCTTGACACGAAGTTGAGGCAAGCGTGAGTCATCAAGAGTGACTAGACGTGGTGTGATTAAGAGTTTATGGTTGGTGATAACGTTGGTGAATTGTGAATCCACGGTGTATCGTGTTGAGCTCAAAAGTTTGTTCCATGGTGTGATGGATCTTTTCTAACCTTTCGAGGATGATGCGACGCCTATGCACTATATAGACATTCGTGATATCTGAATTTTAAAAAACTATTCCAAAATGATATTATGCCAGATAAAAATATTATTAATATTATTACTAATTTAGATGCGTTTGACAAGTAAATAAAAGATTGGTTTAATTTTGTCTCAACTCAAAAATCTTTATTATGCAGAATGCAGACCACGTGGATGGAAATCAGGGTTCATACGTCATCCTTGAAAGGTTAATACTACTATAAAGATAAGTCAGTTGATTGCAGGTATCATATCTGCAAATATTTAGAATTATAGCGATGGACAAAATTGGCCTTATTGGTACACTGAAAAATTTCATTTAAATTGTATTTTCTTCCTAAAAGTATGAATTTTTATTATTTAGATCGAAGAGGGATAAATTTTATCAAGTTAAACGATTAATTGCATTTTCTATTGCTCGACCTTTTAATCATTTTACCTTCATACGACATATTTAATTTTACAATTTTTAACATGTGTTCAACTGTGTTTATCATTGTAAATCATATAGTGTAACAAAGAAACGAGAAGATCATGTCGAAAACAAATGGCATTGGCAAAGAATTAGTATTAATTATTTAACATAAAATAGAAACAATTCCAATATAATTTATTATACTACTACGTTATTAATTTAAATTTGAAAAATACTTATAAAAGGAAGGTATTCATCCTTTTCCTGTCACGAGTACACAATTTTTTAGCTGTACAGAATAGCTGTGTTATGAATTTTTTACTTAATATCATTTCTGGTTTGCAATATATTAGAAATAATTTCGTATCGACATTTGCGTAGAATGTTTAAATAATCTAACTTTTGTTGGTTGAACGTCTCGGTGATTCTCGTCTTTTTACAGGTAAAGAGACCTGTGACCTGGAGACGGAACAGGGGAATGATATACACGACCACTCATGGGTATTTGGATGCTTTGTTAAATATGGATTAACGTTACGTGAATTTTATCAAAGTGTGCAAGTTAATGGCAAGTTGATGAATATTACCTTCTTATGGAGTCAGCAGGCTGTAAATGATTAAAGAACTAAATGTTAATGTACTGTAATTAAAAGCGTGTGACTCATTGACGTATCCGCCATTTTTAGGTATCATTGCTTGAATTAATTTGCGTAGTCTGCTTGCCAGTTTCAAAGAATCATCTGAAATGTCTGAGTCACAGCTCAGAGATGAAACGTCCTGGAGACAACGAGCTTTTCAAGCGATGAATTAACTTTACTACATTTAACAATTTTAGAATTATACATCAGCTTTGAGAAATTAATTTTATCGCGTCGTAACATTCTGCTATACACAGCTGTAATAATTTATTCATAATATTGTAAATTTTGTATATTGAATTTCGTAGGAACTAACCGAGTACCCAGATACTTCTGAGTGGTAGTGTACCTGATAAAATACTACGTGAAAATTCTCTGCATTAAAATCTGAGATAAAAAGTACCATGCGAATAATTTTCATTTTTCTTTTAAACATTTTTGCAATTTAATACAAAGCTATAATTGATTATTTTTGTTTATCGTTTTTGCAATATAATAAACGTTTTAAGTCGTATTTAAGCGTTTAATTAATTATTAATTAATGTATTAAGCGTTTAATTAATATTATTAATTAGTAAGCGAATCAAATGCAATAATTACTGATATTCTATAGTAGTTTTAAACTCACTAAAGGTCGTTCAAAGTCTTAAGAGCAGTTTTAAAGGAAAGTTAGTCTGGTAGTGATGAAATCCAGGTGCAAATGGCACTAACAAATATTTCAGTGGACGTTAAAGATGTAGTAATCAGAGAAATATAGAATTCTCAGTAATTTTACGTGACAAAATTTCAAAAAAAAAAATACTTATGTATATTTTTTCAAGCTTTAAAACTCATATTTTAACAACTTATTAATCAATATCAATAATATTAATATTTTCAATAAGCAATTATCATTAACATCTACTCAAATAAAAGTTCCTTATGTACCAATATTCTAGTTACTAATTTCCCCTATACCACTATATTCTATAAAACTAAAATAATAAATATCTGCTACGCAACAAATTTTTCGCTCGAAATTTACATCTATTATCTTCATTAAAACTGATTAAAACACCAACTAGTGTGCATTAATTAATTTATAACTGACAATTCTCGTTGTCGAATATTATATAATTATAACGACTAATATCTCGTTTTAACCCTTTGCACTCAAGAGGCGACTCTCAGTCGCCATTTAATCAGATTCTAAAGACCGACGTTAATTAATATGTTAAATTTAAAATTAACCAAGGATGCCTGGAATATGGAAGTAAAATAATTCCCCGTCTTAATTTGCATACGATTTCTTATTCACCGTTTTAAAAATATCGTCGATTTTATGGCAGAAAATCTTCGAATTACTATTCTTCTATAAAGAAAAAATCACCGAGTGCAAAGGGTCGATATTTCATCGACACATGTCATAATTTCAATTTCCTAACAAAAGTATAACCATCGTTCCTCGTACCTTCGCAGACCTGTCTCCAGTCCGATGGGCTCGCCGGAAGTCGTCGAGCTCCGAGTCGGAGCGTAACTGCTACAACGTGCAAACGTCGCAAGTGACCACCGAGCGGAGTCCCACTAAGAAAAATAAGAAGAGGATCCAGAAAGAAAGGCGGAGGGTCTGCGAGAAACGGAACCCGCTGCTGGACCGCGTGAAGAACACCAGGCTGAGCTTCTTCAAAGACCGGGACTCGGACGACGAGGACCGGGAAGAGGACGAAGACCCGGAGAAGCCACAGTTCCGTTCCATGTGCGAGTTGAACCAACGCGGCCTGACGAGGAACGAGTTCCGCAGATCGGTCTGCGAATCCGACTTGAAGGACATCATCGAAGAAGAGAAGACCCAGGCAAAGAGGAAAAGACGTTCGAAATCGCAGAGTAGATTGCCCTATCGAAAGCATCAGGAAGAACGCTTCTCTTTCCTGGGTTTCCGACCGTCGACTGGCCAGAAGCCAGCCAGTCTGTCCAAGGAGATCATCGAGGAAACCAGTAGTCAACAGAATCGCAGATGGAAGAAGAGCAAAGAGTTCGTCCAGGATCACCAGACGTCCAGGCGATCGATGGATCACGTGCTGGAAGGCTCCAGCAGCACTGAAGACCCAGCGTTCAAGGATGGCTCGCAGTTCGACAGCATAACACCCTCTAGCTGCTTGGCTGCCAAGTTCAGGGCGATGCAGGACAGGTACCTAAAAAGCTCCACCAGCAAGCTGATAGCGAAGATCTATAAGAAAGAGGGCAAAGACAAGGAAAGAAGAAGACTGAGGAGCTTCTCTTATGGCACTCTGCCAGGCCTAGAGGAGTTGAGGACCAATCCTCTTTACGAGGAGCAGGACCAGGACGACAACGATTCTGGTATCCTGGACAACGATTCTGCCACTAGTTCGTTACTCGATGACAGATGCAGCAGCAGTGCTTCTGGCTTGCTGACTGCCCTCAACGACTCATCTTCGAATCCACCACCTCAGTTACCACCGAGGAAGCCATCCTCTTCTATCGTAGACGTAGAGAGAACAGCAAGATTGTTCTCTAGTCTGGACGTCTACTGTGGGAGGAACGAGGGCAGGGGTTGCAGGAAGGACATGTCTAGATTGAACGCCCTGGAAGATTCTTCGAGCCAGATCTGTCAGGCTTCCAACAGCGAGTTGATAGACAGACAAGATCGTGACAGCTCCAAGTCTCCAGAGGATAAAGACGTCATGGAAAGGCTGGACAGCAAAGACTCGTTAGGGTCGGAGAGTTATCAGAGCACCAGGCTGCCAGTCATCAGGAACAGGTCTTATGTCACCGAGACTATGGTCGTGAAGCTACCCAGGGAGAGCTCTGACCAGTGCCTGGGCATCTTCATCGCGAAGACCGCTGAGTCCAGTCCAGGCTACCTGGTGGCGCACGTGGTGCCAAATGGGTTGGCCGATAAGGAAGGTACCTTGAGGATAGGCGACGAGATTCTGATAGTAAATGGGAAGAGACTGAGAGGACTGAGTATGGCGGAGGCTAGGAAGATTCTTGGCAGCGGAAGTGGGCCTGGTGACGTGGATATCGTCGTCTCGAGGTACTCCGCTGTAGACCAGTCCCCAAAGAAGTTGACAGAGAGTAGCGTGGACTACGAGAACGTGCATATGGAGAATGGTCACGGTGTCATAGTCGAGAATTCGCCCAGGTCGCATTTTAGGAAGCACCACACGAAGCATCATAAGGACAGGAAGAGCGAGTGCAACAGGTCTACTTCTTCCGATAAGGCAGTCGTGAGCGTGGACAATGGTGGCTCACAGAGCGTTTCCAACTTTTGCACGCTACCTAGGAGGCCCAGGAACACCGTCTCAACGTTCCTGACAGTCGTATTTCAGAAAGGTCCTGGAAAGAAGTCGCTGGGATTCACTATCGTGGGTGGTAGCGATAGTCCTAAAGGAAGCATCGGTGAGTCGTTTATTTTTGATAAAGGTGTCATAGTGTTTTATGTTATCACGGTGTGCTAACGTATGTTCGCATGTTATATTAATGTTATTGATATTTAAAATAATTAATTAAATTATGTGTATATTAACACTAGAACTTCCATTAGAACTCATTTTTACAATTTCACGTAGCCTTGAGTGCTTTTCGTAGAATAAATTTTAATTTTGATTTATTGGATAAAAACGAGATGAGACGTATTCATGTATGCTAACGTACTTTTACAAGTATTATGATTTGTATATAGTATATTTGTTATAGTTCTAGTGTTAATGGTAATAATGTCGGTAATATTAATATTAATATTAGTAATAATAATATTCATAACAGTAATATTATTATTGTTAATAATAATTGTAATATCGGTATTATCAATATTATTAATATCAGTGTTATTAACATTAATCAAAGTAATTCATTAATATTAATATTAATATCGATGTTAGTAATAATAATATTCATAATAGTAATGTTATTATTGTTGATAATAATTATAATATCGGTATTATCAGTATCAATAATAGTAATATCAATATTATTAACATTAATCAAAGTAACTTATTAATATTAATATTAATATTAGTAATAATAATATTCATAACAATGATATCATTATTAATAATAATTATAATATCGGTATTATCAGTATCAATAATAGTAATATCAATGTTATTAACATTAATAAAAGTAATTTATTAATATTATGAATATTGCCAGTATTAAAATGATCAATAATGTAAATTATAATGTATGCTAAATGCATAATATTCGTGACAAGGGTAGTGTGAGTGTCTGCTCATCAAGTAATATGCACAACCATAATTGTATTTATCGCGTTTCACAGTGTGTATAAAAGGGTGTTTACATGAGTCTGTAATTCAAATAGTTTCATCCATAATTCTGTACGGGTCGTTTATTATTCGATTAACAGTAACAGGACCTTTTCGGGGATGCTTGATCATTATCGTATAAACTTGCTGTGCTAATGTGTAGCAGTTATTCGTGTAAATTCATGCTCGTTAAAGACTATTACAACATTAAACGTTTTTCAAGCTAGTTTCACCAACGTGCTACCTTATAACTCGAATGCAGTAAAAATGTTTAACAACTACTATATATTATGCAAGGCAACATCGTTATTATTCGTTGTTTAGTACTACCTTATCTTGGCATATAGTATCACTAATGCTTCGATATTACCTAATTAATCGATCGATTAATTAGAACAATTCGAAGCGGAGATTTTAAAACGTTATCTATACTAACATTTTCCAACGAAATTTAAGATTACTACGCCCAGAGTAGATAATAAAATTCGTTTTACAATCGTCCTTTAAAAATCCTTCGAACTTCAACATCGCAATGATCGTTTAATGACGAAGCGTTATAAATTTGCATTAAAGTCCGCGCGAAGATTTCGACACGATTAAATCGAGAATCTCCGCGTTTCACTGTAATCATCATTTTATCTATATATCATCTCGAGACGTGGAATTTATCACTCTTTCAGTGAGCACGCTTTATACCTCTAATGGGATTAACCGCGTTAAAAATGTCCAGGTTTTAACATTCTAATGCTACGTAATATCGTCGTAAACTCGTAATGCGATTAATTATTTTTCCAACGCAGGCAGCTGCTATTTCAAGGTTGCATCTAACTTCTAATGCGATTAAATGTATCGGAAACTTTCAAACTTCAACGTTCTCATCGTTCATTAATGCAATCCTCGAAGACGGATTTCTAACGATTTTAAATTATTCTTCGTAACCGGTGTTATTTAATTATGCTATTGATGATGATATTTTAAAAACTCTGAAATATGAACTTTTAGTTAAATATTTTGAAAATTTTTAACTTTGAAATTCACCCGAAATTTGTTAAAATTTAATTAAATATTTAATTTTAAATATTTAATTTTTAAATTTAACTAAATATTGGGTAATGAACTTATGGTTGGATATTGGACATGTTAAATATTTGCAAATTTCGATGGTGGTATATTCAGTGTTTTTCAACTTTTCAATATCGAGAGAAATAAATATTTTGATAAATCTTTGAACGTTAACATTGTCACATTGTTTAGACTATCGTATCTAAACTTTTTAAAATTCTTCAGAATTAACGCGATAGAATAATTCAATAACTTCCAATCTCGAAATCTCATATCGTTTGTTGATACAAACGTTAACAGATTTATGTTGATATTAAAATATATTCTGAATATTTGATAAATATCGTTCACTTTAATCCTTTCACCACTATGGACTCATTTTTATGAATCAGAGATTTTTGGGCTCTAGATACTTAAATAACAGAATTCCTGTTAATGTAGAATTTTCTTAAATGAACAATTAAGAAAATATTTAAATTTGTAATGGGAGTATTTAATTTTAACATTTTCTTAAAATTTTAAAAATCAAGAGTACTTGAATTTTCTTCAATTCTCTTAACACACTGCACTGTACTGTCCCCTTTTAGAAAACATTGTAAAGACGTTATAAATCTAGCAAACACCTCGAATGTTTGTTCTGAGATCATACAAAATGATTTTAAAAGCTGGTTATAATTTACGCAGGACAAAATTTGTCAAAAATATATATTCTTAATCAAATTTTAAGCGGAATATCACTTGGATGAAATATTTAGTTCCAATTCTATACTATCTTATCTCACCCTTCTTGTTTTTCAAATGTAGAAGGTTTTTACTGAATTAAATTTGTTTAATTACAATTTACTTAAATTTTCTCCAATTTTCTTACGTTTGTTTGAACTTTCTCAATTTTCCTCTGATTTTCTTCAGTTTTTTTAAATTTATCTAAATTTTCTCAAATTTTTTTCGATTTTCCTAAATTTTTTTCAATTATCTTATATTTATCTAAATTTTTTCAAATTTTCTTCGATTTTCTTGAATTTCCTTTAATTCTCTCAAATTTTCTTAACATTTTCTTCAATTTTCCTCAATTTCATAAAATATTCCCAAATTTCCTAGACTTTCCTTCAATTCCTCTCCATTTCTCATAATCTCGTAAACCCTACCAAACATAACGACCCCTTAAACATTCACAAACATTTTCTTTACATTTTCCTCAATTTTCTTCAATTTCATAAAATCTTCCAAAATTTCCTAGACTTCCTTTCAATTCCTCTCCATGTCCATGATCTCGCAAACCCTCCCAAACATAACACCTCCTTAAACATCCTCAAACATTCCTCCCGCCCCCAAACCTCCTCCCCTCCACCGTTCCTATAATCTCATAATTCCCTACCTTCACATACACATCCGAACACCAAATTAACTACCCTAACCACCTAGACTATCTAGGTAGATCCACCTAGATCTACCCAAATCGCCACCCCTTACACCCGCCACCCCCGACACCCGTCACCCAACCCTCAACCCTTAATTCCATAATCCTGCACCAAGCGTTCACCGAACACTCGACAAAACCGAACTCGAATATCGCGACGAAGATATCCCGACAAGCATTCGTCGACACGAAGAAGAAGAAAAAGAAGAAAAATAGAGATGAAATATGACGCGTCATTATCAAGTCTCGAATACTCTGCGCTCGGCCCCTTATCGTGAGCGTTCCTCGCCCAACTCCTCGAGCACACGCGCGTGTTTGCAGAGGGTCGACCGGCAAACAGGCAGAAATAGCGACGGATCCGCCGCTTAGAAACGCTCACCGGTTTCCCTTGCTATAACGTTTACGCGCTGCCTCTCGACGTAGAAAAATATTACGGTGCCCCTTGTCGATAAATTGCCTCCGCGTGTATACAAGCGGTCTCGAGTTTTACGCGCTCGTTATACGAGGCGGACACCGAGCAGCCCGCGTTTCGTACGCTTCGGGAACATCGGCGTGTTCGGCGCGAGCTTCGGCTTGTTTTACATTCGTGTAAAATCAGCCGTGTACACGGTCGCCACGAGGATCGATTCTCGAGAAAGATGAGCGGTAGGATGAGGAGGTAGATCGCGGAGGAACGTCTTGAGGTAGGTCGAGGATGCAGGGAGTCTGGGTTGGTGTCGCTGAGTCGGGTTTGATTTGGGATCTATGCTCCGTTCAACGAGAATTAACAAGGAATATGAATAAAACCGTCACGTGATCAACGTGGATGCTCAGGGCGACTTTTAAAAGTCCTAATTAGGGGCCCTTACGAATAAGGCTAGTGAAAATTTTCCTTGGATTATTTGGATCACCTCGGGAACAGGTTTGATGCTTCGGCCCTGGTCTGATTATGCGTTGTTCACGTGCAGATATTTATATTTTCTGTCAATTGGAAGTATATACTCTGTTCAATGAGAAAAGGTGGAAAATATAAATAAAAAGAGAGAATTGCAAATGTTAAATTAATTTTGTATTATTAAATGTAATATTTTTATAAAATAAAGTTAAATGTTATATATGATTATATATATATTGTATATATAATTAAATGTTAAATGAATTTTGGATTTGAGTATTTATGGTAGGATGCTTACAGGGTGGTTACTATGATAGAGTTTGATTGAGATTGGGGATGAAATTGAGAATATTGGATTATAATTCGTTTTGTTAAAATTTAAAATAAAAAACACTAATAAAATACAAATACAAATAAAAAAAAAAATAAAAATACGTTTTTGTACTCGAATATTTATAATAGAATGTATACAATAAATAAAAATGGAACCTGTTTTCTTTAATGAGCTATCAGAAGAATCGTTTGGATTTCTTCGGAAACATTAGAATGACGCAGGGACTAAAATTAAAAATATTTGATTATGGAAATTTTGAATTCGAATATTTATGATAGAATGTGTATGATAAGTAAAAATGGAACCTTTTTTCTTTAACGAGCTATTAAAAGAAACGATTAGATTTCGTCAGGAGCTTTAGACTGACATAAAGGATGAAATTACGAATATTTAATTATATAAATTTTTGATTTAGGTATTTTTAATAGGATGCTTATGATAAATAAAAATGGAACATTTCTTCTTTAATGAGCTATTAAAAGAAACGATTAGATTTCTTCAGAAGATTTAGAATTACATAAGGGATGAAATTAAGAATATTTGATTACAGAAATTTTGGATTTGGGTATTTTTTATAGGATGCTTATGATAAATGAAAATTAAACATTTCTTTTTTAATAAGCTATTAGGAGAAACAATTAGATTTTTGCAAAGGCATTAGTGCAATTTACTAGGGGTTATTGGAGATTGGGTTTGGTGAAGTTGCAGAAGGTGAAGTTGAGAATATTAGATTATAAAAATTTAGCTGAAAAATTTCATACTTGAGTGTATATGATAGTGTTCACGATAAATGAAAATGGAATATTACTTCTTTAAATGCATTTTTGCAGGAAGTATTTGAAAATGAAATAAGACTTTTATTCCATAAAATACATATTTTTTTAGAATTATCAATTGTATTGGAAATTTGCAATTTTGCAAATGACTCCAAAGTAAGTCAGATATCTGAAATATAGAGTGAGTAAAAACTCTATAATCTTCAGTAATTTTGAGTATCTTCAAAGCAACACATCTCGACAAAAAAAAGAAAAAAAAAGCCATGTAATTATGAATCAAGTTTTATTTTACAAGAGAAGGTTAGTAGTACACGATGCTGTTGACAAAAATATTAGAAAATTATTCGATTTCGATTTCATCGACGCGACTTGAATTTTTTTTAATTACTCGTATTCAAATTGAAATTCTTTGGAATTTCTTCTTATTTCTTGGATGGATTTCGTTATTCTATTCAGCGTATGACAAAATGATAGCACACCCTATAATTTTCAGTGTTCTACGAATAATTTTTTAAATATATTTAACAAAAGAAAAATCATGATTCAAATCATATCTAATAGTATACTATTAACAAAAAAATTGAAAAGAATCACTTCCTGCTTTATATTTATAAACTTTTCCATCTTTACCAAAGATATACACTATTTTTGAAATATTTTTCCAAATACAGAAAAAATCTTATTTCCTATATCTAACGCGATAAATAATTTTTACACTTAAGTTTGAATTCAGCACTCGAAAATACACGTATAATCTACCTAATCTTGAACTTACTCTTGTTATTTCCCCATAGCAAATTTTCCCATAAACAAGTGAAATTTGTGAAAAGAAATTTCCATTGTCATTATCCCTCTTACATATCTCTTTAAATAGACATATACATAAAATTCGCACATTTTACATCAATCTAATGAAACACTGAGAATCATAACGTCCACTATCATCTTGTCCTCCACTGTGCTTATCTTTTGGGAGCAGCATATAGGTGAAAAAGTAAATGTTTGTTGCTCAAACTTGTATTCGATAGAGTCCATAGGGCAAGGAAACGACACGTTTCTCCCTCAAAACACACATCCTTCCAGGATCATGGACAGAGTAAGAAAACCGCGGGAAATAATAATTCAAATTTGTACTGAACGTGATCTATAACAAAGGAGGAATAGATCCTTCGTGATCCACGAAATTTACATAACAAAGAATAATTCCACTGTCACAGATTCCATTATCAAAACCAATCATTCCCGATCGCTCCATATCTATTAACTTTTGAGCAAATTGAAACTCTTACAGTGTACAGAAGCGAGACTTGAATTTCCGCGTTCTAAGTTACTTGCTAGATGTGATCTACGTCGATTATAAAACGTTAGGTTAACGCTACATGATTCGAATTTCTCTGCGAAGCTTATTCGTTAACACCATGAAATCTCCTTCGATCGTCCCATGTTCGTTCGTAAATTTACCTATCGTCTGTATAGACTAAATAACTGGAAGCTGTCTGGACACCTCGCTATCGAATCCGTTGCTTATCGTTAGCATAATTATCTCAGTAATATCATTCGTCGCGTTTGTTACAGGTATCTTTATAAAATCGGTATTGCCCGGAGGGCAAGCCGCTGAAGATGGCCGTTTGCGCGCAGGTGACGAGATTTTGGCAGTGAATGGCCACGTCTGTCACGACTTGACCCATAGAAAGGCTGTTCAGCTTTTCCGCAATATCAAAACTGGACCGGTTGCCTTGCACCTTTGCAGACGCGTTAAAAACAAGGAACTACAGTGAGTACGGCACTGTTCTACTGTTACACAGAGTATCACTGATGTCTGGTACAGTTAACATTTGCCGATGTCGAGGAGAACTTGACGGGGTTAACATGAGTCTGTGTGACGAGGTCTCGTTGGTACTATCGTGTTGATTATGTAAAACAATTGTTTATTCAATTTTGCATCTCTTAGGATTTTTAACAGTTTTTTTAAGGTCTAACAGCGTAGGAGGTATAAATAGGAAGTCACGATTTCGTGTTGGGAAGTTTGTACGCTTGGATTGCCTTTTGTAAAGGCTATTTTGATTATTTGTCAAACTTAGGTATGATTTATTAGGTATTATTAGGTATGATTTATTTGTTAAATTTAAGAGATAATTGATGTATTTAATTTGTAAGATGTAATTATGAAATTGATATATTTTATTTTTTAAATATTGCGTTACAATTTGGAAGAAAATTTGGGATAAAAGCTCATGTGCCGTGTTACATTCGCAGTGCTTGAATTGTGATGTTACTTCCACTCGTGTGTTTCCAAAAGTCTATTTTAGACACATGTTCGTATCGTACAGCGACATATCGTTCTCAAGATCGCTCGATAACGGTAATTAAAACCAATCGTTTACATAATCAACACGATAGGTACTAATCGCCCAGCCACATTACAAGAATCGTTAGCGTAAAAATAGGACTTGGAGTAACATTTGATATCACTTTTCAGAACAACGAAGGCTAAGTCGTGCGCAGACCTTTTGCTCGTCGACGCGTGAAGAAATGCTGTACAAGAAGATTGTAAAAAGGAAAACGAAGAAAGCAAGAAAAGAAATCACTCCGTGACCGTTGTAAAAAAAAAGAAAATGAATTCGGGACCTGTATATATTTTGTAAATTTGTAAAGTCTCTTGGAAATAAAATTATTATTTAATAATTGTCGAAAGGAAGTTACGTTTAGTTGATCGTTGCACATCATCGTTTCGCGAAACAGATCCTCAAGCACCTTAAAAGTACGACCTCTTTATTGTCCTCTATAATAATAATAATAATAATAATAATAATAATAATAATAATAATAATAATAATAATAACATTAATAATAATAATAATAATAAAGAAATTGCATACAATGAATTCACGCTGATGTAACGTATTTGTATAAAATCTTATAGCCATAATAATAAAAATAATAATAATAATAGCAATAATAATAATTTGATAAAAAACTTAATTACTACGCAACTGCGACACCGCGGTAAATAAATTAATCGAAACAAACATCAAAGATCAAAGATTCGTTCTGATAGACTAGAATCCTAAAACTTCGTATGTAGCGAACGTTAGGTCGCTTTGAATCGAATCGAAAGAGCACTTCCGGTGGGCAGATTCGTCCACATTGCCTCCTCCTCAGCATGGCGCGGATTTTTGCGTACTTTTCGGGTACCTATAACAGACGCAACACGTTCCACGTGAGAAAACTAATTTTCCCTCGTCGTGTATTTGTTTAATTATTTGTTAGTATTGGTACTTTTTGTTACACAATTTATGGGAGTACTGTTAACGCAAGAGTTGTATTAATAAATAGTAGTATTGTGAATTTTATACGAATTAATAGCATAAATATCGATTAAGATATTTGAAATTTAGTGGTAATAATTACTTGGTTCAAAAACTTATCACAAAAATGAATTTTCGATTTACTTTCTTCCCCTTCTTTTTTTTAATAATATTGCAAATGGTGGTTGTTAATTTGTATGTTCTTAATCTTGGTTAATACCTGTGTCTCCTTGTGATTTCTAACTCAACAGGACCTTCCCTCACTGCTTTGAACAATTCGATTACTTCTTGGTGTGTGTACCCACGCAACACCTTGCCATTTAAACTTAAAATTTCGTCACCTGCAACAAAAATTGGAATATTCTGCGTTAGATAACTTCATGTATTCAAATCTTATATTTATTATAGCTAACTTTAAATTACATTGAAAAATAGCCATCTCCTTGTAACATAATAAAGATATCAAACGTTTCAAGTATAGTTACAAACAGAAAATTGAGTTTTATCTAAATTTGAAGCTTCATTTGAACCACATTTAATCATTTACTCTATACACACAATCCACTCCTTCCTCTGAATGGATCAAAATCATTGAACATTCTAAATCCCTTAAAAAAAAGAAAAAAAGAAAATGAAATGAAGAAAACAGAAAAAAATAAATTTCATCCGAGATTGAAACTTTTTCCATAACATTCAAAATCGATTACAATTCTCATGGCGTTCCAAAGACACAACTATAGGAAATCAGAAAATCGGAAGACTATAATGAATTTCAAAAAAGATCGGAAATTCTTTCAAAAGATTCAATCAATTTCAGTTCCGTAGCATTTAAAATTTAAAAGTCGGATGGAATAAATTGAATAGATAAAAATCATTAAATATTTCAAGCCCCTCAAAAGAAAAAATAGAAAAAAGCAAAGAAAACAAAAAAATAAAAATTTCATTCGAGATCGAAACTTTTTGCATAACACTCAAAATCGATTACAATTCTCCTAGCATTCAGAAAACACGACTATAGGAAATCAGAAAATCAGGAGACTATAATGAATCTCAAATAAGATCGAAACTTCCTCCGAGAGGTTCGAATGATTCCAATTCCGTAGCGTTTCGAAGTCACGACCTTTTGGCAGCAGCCGGAGATGCATCGATCCTGTACTTATGCAACCGAAACGACCGGCGGCCCGTTATGCAAGCATGCGGCAGGGTGCAGTGGCACGAAGAAACCGCGGACGTTCGCGTGCTCGTAAAAAGCGTCGGGATCGGTTGAAACTCGAAACGCGTTGCGTGAAACCTGCCTACGGAACGTGTTGCCGCCTACCGCGACGGGAGCCTGGCAAAAATCGCGTAGGAGACGGGACGACACGCGTGTCCGCGAAATTCGACTCGACGTTCGCACCGCGGATTTTCTTCCTCGAGGAAACTGTCTGCGTTCCGCTTTTCGCGAATCCTCGCGATCTTCTTTGCTTTCCTTCGCAAGATTTCGCATTGAAACTTCGTTCCTTGGTATAATTTGATTTTTACGGTGATAACGATAATTGTCGAGGTTGTAATCTTGGATACTTCTGTGTGAGTTGCTATGATATGTTATTGTTTTAACCCTTTGCGGTCGATGTCCCCGCAGCGGCGATATTCGCAAGTCGAAAAATACAGAAAACTACAGAAAATTGGAGAAATTAAAAATTTTGCATATTTACGAATTATAAGTAGTAAAGACACAAATCAGTTTCAACAAATTCTGTGCATTTTAACACATTGCAGGCGTGAGACTATGATCACAATCCGAAAAAGAACAAACGTTGAAAGCGGAAGACTGTAATCTCAGTTGCGTGATAGAATGCAATGAACTGCATTCTGTGACTTTGAAGGAACTTGCGCTTTACTTTATCCTATTTTATAATTTTATCAGTTTTGACTGTGTTTTATTTTATTGCATTTTACCCATTTTGAGAATGGATTCGCGCGATTTCGATTGTGATGAAAGTGAAATAATTGTGAAAAAGTTGGATTTCAAAAACTTAGAAAACCGTGCCCGCATGCAAAGTGTTAATCTCCATATATTGACTTTAAATCCTGTACAGAGAAGTAACTGTGAAACGCTAAATTTGCTGTGCTGAAATCTGCCGACCGCAAAGGGTTAAATATTCAGACATATATGGAGGGTAGGATAATAATAAACATTCGAAATTGGAGAAATTAGTATGATTTTATTGAGAGGTAGAGTTCTGTATTTTGTCAGCGGAGGATACATGAATGACAAAATTTTAGGTAAATTTTGTTTATGAGATAAAGAATAATGTTTTAATAATTAATGATATATTGGAAAAGAAAGTATGTATGAATATGTTATTAGTAAATAGAAGTGGTGAACAATTTAAAATAAGGATAATCGAAGTTCTAGTGTGGTTGGTTTGAAGAATGTGCCATTTTATTTTACGAAATTCATTTTCTACTATTCTTTTCGCAGAACATGTTCATTTTTCATAGATGGAACTTGAGCTTGCTGAAAAACGTCGTCAAGCTCAAGAATTGAGAAGAATTAATAGCCTCTGACAGTGAGGTATTTTCTAACCGATATCTCTCGCAGTACCATTTTCTTATAGTTTATAAACTGAGTGTCCTTGAGTAAGCATCAGTCATTGAATAATGGAATAGGAATAATCAAGAACAATCAAGATTCTGTTATGATTCGTGTCAACATTGTGCTATTTTATTTTATTCTATTTGAATTAATTCATCTTCTATTATTTTAGTATAGTATTAGGTGCAGTAAAAAGAAATCCATTATTTCTGCATGAAATTGAATGCAAAAATAATGGATTTCTTTTTATAAATACAAATACTGAAATATTCAAGTAGTGGCCAACATTGTTAACTTACTTCGTCTTTCATTATACTAGGTGTAGTAAAAAGAAATCCATTATTTTTGCATGAAATTAAATACTAGACTGCATCATATTTTCTAATTAATTACTCATATAATGCCATTTTCACATAGTCGATAATGTAAATACAACTACGAGTCGCTGAAGAGATTAAACCACGAATAATCAAGCTTTTAATTCAAATGATTCCAATGTTATACTATTTTATTTTCTTCTATTTATAACTATTTACTTTACTCTATTTCATAGCAAAATATATTCCATTTTCATTAGACAATTTAAGAAAAGCTTCCAAATATAATAAACTAAGAATTCCCAACTCTGCATCGACTAATCGACACCTCTCGTGGTGCCATTTTCTCATAATCGACAGTCTATAATAGATATAACCACAAATCCCTGAACAAATAAAAGCACAGATATTTGGTCCTGACGCTATATCATTATATTTCATTTAATGCCTATCAGTTCAAGAAAAGTTTCCAAATGTGTAACAAATAACAAATTCCCAACTATGTATCATCTAATCGACATCTCCTTTGGTACCATCTTCTCGTAATCGACAATTTGCAATAGATATAACCACAAATCCTTAAACAAGTGAAAGCAGGAATATTTGGTCGCAACTAATGCAAGCTATACCATGACGTTTTATTCCTTTGAAAGCAATTCGCTTTCAACTATTTCACGACAGAATAGCCTCCACTGGCAGTAGACGATCCAAGAAAAGCCTGCAAGAGTTACGGCAAAGAGCGAAAATAGACCGCATGGTACCTTCCAATCGATCCCTCTCGCGGTACCATTTTTTCCCGACTGGCAAAATGGACGTAACCGCGAGTCCCATTTAGCTCGGCCGCCTTTGGCAACGAAGAAAGGGACAGAAAGGTTCTCCGTTGACAAAGCTGACGAGGTTGGCCGAGCCGGGTCCGGTGGCATGCCGCTACAAAAGGCGGGAAAAGAAAGAGAAAAATGCAAAAATGGAAGAAGGGAAAAAAAGACAAAGGGACGAGGAAGGGTGGCGGGGTGGGTGCACGAGGCGACCGGGCTGTTTAGAGATGCACGCGACGTCAGGCGTCGGATTAAAGATTCGAGATGTGTCCGACGCGTCCATGGCGTGAATGCGCGAGGAACGACGGACGCGTACGTGACGCATCGACACGCTCTATCCACGCCGTGATCCTGAAATAGCGAACTATGTCGATGGAACGAGGATCCTTGCGCGATCCGCGCGAGAAGGAATCCGCGATCGATTGCGTCACGTCCACCAGCGGAATGGTAACGTGAGAGATTACACGCTGTTGGAGCTAGGACTGTAAAAGGAATAGAGGAGATCGCGACGGGTTCCTGGGGTGGTGTCGGTTGTCAGATCAGTCGATCGATTTAGATATCTGGATAATCTTCGAGACATCTCATGTGGTTCAATAGGAATGATGCTGAGAAGTTGAGTAAAGTCAAGTGTATACTAAGTAGAAATACAGATATGAAGAAGTAAAGGAGAGAAGTTAGATGTTGATATTTGATAGATGTCAATATTTGAATGGTTTTAAGAAATTTGACATAGTTCAATAGGAATGATGCAGAGAAGTCGAATGGAGTCGAATGTATGTTAAAGTAGAAATACAGGTATGAAGAGGTGAAGACGAAGACTTGAGTATATGGTACATGAGTCGATGTATGTCAATATTTAAATGGTCTTCGAGAAATTTGACATAGTTCAGTAAGAATGATGCCGAGGAGTCGAGTGGAGTCGAGTGTATACTAAAGTAGAAATATAGGTATGAAAGGGTGAAGAAGATGACTTAAGTGTATGGTACATCAATCGATAGATGTCGATACTTGAATGGTTTCAAGAAACTTGACATAGTTTAGTAAGAATGATTAAGAGAAGTCAAGTATGTGTCAAAGTAGAAGTACAGGTATGAAGAAGTGAAGATGAGATGAGTGTGTGTTACATGAGTTGATGAATTTGGATACCTGTGTGGTCCACAACAGATTTGATGTGGATGAATAGGAATGATGGAGAGAAGTCGAGTGAGTGTTAAAGTAGAGATACAGGTATGAAGAAATGAAGAAGATAAGTTGAGATTATGTTACACGATTCAATTTAGGTATCTGAATGATTTTCACTATGCTGTGATGTAGAAGAGTTTTGTGGGATTGAGTATGTGATGTGTGTATGTTAAAATAGAAGTACGCATTAGGAAGTATTAAAGTAGAAATGTTCAGTATGTATTCAGTATGTGTTAAATGATCTGTTAGGGAATTCTCGAGGATTAAGAGATGTTGTAGTTATGTAGATATTGGATATTAGACCTGTTTTAGGTGAATGGGTGAAGATATTTGATATTGGCTCTGCCTGGAGACTTTAAATATTGCCATAGGTAGCTAAATAGTTAGCTTAATAAATACAGTGTAGTCACTGTAGCAAAGATGTGATGTAAGGTGTAGTTTAAAGAGATTAGATAGGAATAAGTTGAATCTATATTCAGTATCTGTCAAAGTGGAAGTATATGTATGTATTAGAAGACATTGAAGTAGATAAGTTTAGTATGTGTTAAATAATTCTTGTGGATGTAGAGATATAAGATGCAGGTCCTGGGAACTGACCTTTCTCAGAAGCTTTGAATATGTTTATTGATGTTTGCAGAATAGACTTGCTTTATTTTAGTTTCACTTATATTAAATTTGTGACAGAATATGTATTTAATGAAATAGAAATAGCATGGATATTGCAATATAAGGTATAATATAAAATGATAGTTATTAATTTTATTTTCATCTTATAAATGAAGAGATAAGATACCTGTAGATGTGAGATATTTGTTTTTTCTGAAAACATAGTTATCGGAGACTATTAAGTTTATTGCAATATGTGTCTTTAATGAAATAAATACATGGTGGTTATTATAACAAGAGATATGATGGGAAGTGAAGATGTTAGGTATTACACCTTTTCTTCCCCTTGTAGATGAAGAGATAGATTAGGTGTAGGGGTTCAGTACTGATTCCTTTTGGAAACTTCAGATACAGTCATTGGTAGTTATTAAGCTTGCTACAAGATGTGTTTAATAAAATAACCACATACATGATGGTTATTGCAGCAAGAAAATAAAGTAAGGTGTAGATGTTAGCTTTTTCCTTTCATCTTGCAGATGAAGAGATAAAGTACGTGTAAGTGTAGGGCATTTGCTCTTTTTGGAAGCTCCAACTATAGTTATTGGAAGCTATTAAACTTATTACAACATACATTTCTAATAGTATAAATATGGTGATCAATATAGCAAGAGATATAATGTAAGGTATAGATGTTAGATATTAATCCTTCTTCTACCTTGTGAATGAAAAGATGTAACAGGTGTAGGTGCTGAATGTTAGTTCTTTTTGGAAGCTACAAATATGGTTATTGGTAGCTATTAGGCTTGTTGCAAGATGTGTGTATAATGAAATAAATATATGGTGATTACTGCAACAGAAGATATAATAAGGTACACATGTTAGCTATTAATTCTGCTTTCATGTTGTATATGAAGAGATAAAGTAGGTATAAGTATTGGTTGTTAGATTTTTTTAGAAGCTTCTTTTTGTTTCATGATCTTATATCATAGATTCATAGATCTTGCACAAATTAGATCTCCTTAAGATATACACAAATCATAAACAATATGAAACTGAATAAATGAACGGATCTAACAATTATTCTAAATCATTTCTGACCACTTATTTTCATACTCGTACAACTAATTTTTAAATCACACAGTTCCATGGCATTAATTTCCAACAAAATGAGCACAAATAAATATTCAAAGGAATCTACATAGCTTCTTCACTATTAGCTATATTAACAGACAAAACTATCTCCAAACTCACACCCAACTCTAAAACCCTGGAGCTAATAATCAAGGAATATACCAATCTAATCCCAAGCTCATTAAATTAATTCAACCTACCTTGGAACAGCGACTTGGAAACGTCAGCCTGACCTCCGGGGAAAACCCTCCTCACGAAGATGCCCATCTCACCGCGAGGGCTATCTCTGCCACCCACGACGCTGAAGCCTAGGCTGGGCTTGCCATAGCCCTTCTCGAATTTGGCAATGTGCCTCGTCAAGTAATGCTGCGGTTCCGTTGTCGACTCCAGATTACTCTCTGCGGCTTTTCGTTCCTTGGACATGCAGGAAAGCGGCAGAAAGTCTGGCCTTTTCGACGACTGAACGCCATCGTCTACGGTGGGCTTGCCCGATTGCTCCGACTGTACAGTCTGCTTCGTTTCGCCGTCGATCAACGACAGGTTGGAAAGATTCTTTGCGTTTTCCAGGTACTCGTACTCCCCAGGTAAGGTCGGCGGACTGACGTACACCTGCGGCACCGTCTCCTCATATGCTGTCATCAGTCGTATCTTGTTGCCCGTGAAGGATCTCAGAAACTCCTGCACTTCCTCCAGGCTCTCTAACGTTCTCAATTCTTTGCCCTCGACTTCGACGATCTCATCGCCGAGCCTTAGTCTTCCGTCCCTGTTAACATTTTATTTAATTTAGTGGCTTAGTGACGATGAGATAAAGCGGCCTTGATAGCCAAGAGATTAAACACGTATCTTATAATCTCAAACCTTACAACACATCTTATAATTATGACAGCATGTTAGTAGAAACACAAAACTAGAAATTTTGAGAGCAGGTGGAATATAGTGACTCTATACAGTAAGCAGTTACAAATTTATCTCAATGACATGGTAATAACTCATTACAAGATTAACTTAATTCACAATTCAGTGTCCTCGCATATTTAGGCTATGTCTAACTGCTATCTAACACCTTGTCTTATGAAACTATTATATATACTCCACCGATCAATTCAAGTCTCTTCAAGGAGATAGGAGCTTTAGAAGTCCGATAGATCTATGATACAACTAGACCTACCTATGCGCTATTCCATCACTTTCCAGTTGAACAACTATGTACCGCAGCTCGCCCAAGCGTTGCTGCGCCAAACGGATGCCCAAACTTTCCTTCGAATCTCTCTTGTGCAGCTGCACTAGCCGACACCTCCTCACTCTCTTAGGCGGCTGAATTATGTCGCTCAGAAACCTGGTCTTGTCCTGTTGCAGTCTCATCCGGTGCGGGGATATATCTAACGACTTTGGCGAGTTCTGCAGCGGATTCAGCCCATTCCCGCAAACTGGGAACTGAGAGTTCATCGCAGTGTCATCGTACGTCTGGTGAATACTTGGCAGCAGTCTTCCAGAATTACTTTGGTGCCACCTAAGTCCATCTATACCGTCGTTCAACTCTGAATTGCCAGCTCTGACAGCGTCCGCCTCAGAGTTCTTCCTCGTCCTCAAGTCACTGCTATTCTCCTGTTCCTGACACTCGCTGGGAGTGGAACTCCTAATAGGCTTCTCCAGTTCCGAGTCAACCACGCTGCTAGTATCTGAACTATCGGTGCACTTCAGACTTAGTCCTTCGTTCTCTGAAGCAGCCGCAGACTCTCCTCTAGGCCCATCGCTGTCATAGCCAGACTCGTTCGAACTGACATAGTGAGAGGACAACCTTTGCTCGCCACTAGGAGCCGAGTTTCGCCTATGATTCCTCAACGTGGCCACCATGTCCAGGTCTACGTTCAGCGAGGACGTCTCGGAGAATCTGGACTCATTGATCCTTCCAGCAAAGTCTACCCTATCCTGACCAGCTTCCGGGTGCTGGACATTAGTAGTAACACGCAGAGACATTGGACTGCTGTCATACGAGCTGTAACAACCCGTGTCCTCCTGTTGGAAATTGTCGTCGATCCTTTCCAAGTGACCAGGGTTCAAACTGTACCTCTCCTCGCACCTGCTCGAGTTCTTGCGGAATTCCGTGTACGAGTTGCGGCCTGGCTTCGAGGTGGTCGGTTCCTGGGACTTGTTAGGGCTTCCTCTGGCCAGGTTCCCGGTCCTGGCACGTCGTCGACCCAGCGTGGTCGTTCCAGTGTACGAGTCCTCGATCTTCAACGCGGGGAAGTGCTCCTCGGAGGCAGTCTTGAACAGTCGTTCGTCTTTCGAAGCGAACGTACTGTGACGTTCCTCGGGCAGGACGGAGAGTTTCGATCGTAGGAAAGCGTACGGGAAGCTGGACTTCTTCGCCTCCTTGAAGTCACAGCTGCTGCTCTTCCGCATTGGCGTTTCGTTTCGCGACTGTCCGAAATCGCAAGGGCTGAAGCTCGTTATCGACGAGTTCCCCAGGGGATACAGGGTGCCAGACGTGTCACTTATGCGTTCGTCGAACACATCGTCATTCTGACGACCGGCCAGATTGTCACAGGACACGGTCTTGTCTTTGCGACTCGAAATCTGCAGATCGATTCCCTCTGAGGGATCGTCACCCTTCACGTACGTTGGGCTAGTGTTCAATTGGCTGGTGCTGCAGCTTCGGAATAGGTTCTCCTTCTCGGTTGTTTTCAACCTGTCCTCGATGTTCTGCGAACGTCTGTTGCTCCTCGCAGAGTTCAGCATCCCCGTGGAACCCATCCGGATGAAGAAGGATTTGAAGGGAGAGGGTGATCTGTGGAACGTTCCCGGTATTCTCTTTTCCACCTTGCTGTCTAGCTTTGCGTCTGGCAGTGATTTGTCTGTTTTCGCGTTGATATTGTTGTTGCTTGCCGCCGAGCAGTTGTTGTTGTTGCTATTGCTGGTGTTCCCAGTGTCGGATCTCTCGGATATGGAACAGATCGTTTCGCGGGAACCAGCCCGCCGGAACGAGTCTATTTTCTTGCTCATTCTGCGCCCCCAGACTCCGAAACTCGAGCCTGGAAATAGCAATGTGTCCTTATGTGAAGTGGAGTAATTATAATATTATAGAAAATTAATATTAAAAAATTGGACGATCCTATTCTTAGGATATAGGATATTTTTAGGATATCTGAAGACAATGCTGCTACAATTTATTATTTACTATTAGGACGTTTATTGCAATGTACTGAACTATCAAGCAGTGATGTCAATCTACTAAACTATATTATTGATCGATTATATGCATAGGAAGAATTAGTAGATCATACACAAGGCACTATACTTGTGTTTCCTAGAAAATCATTCTATACAACATAGTCTAAACTGATTAACATTAAAACTATGAAACTATGATAGTATTACATTTTGACAATAATGGTATGTAAGATGGTGTGATGGAAATATATAATCATAGCTTTATCTTCACAACAGGACATAAAAAGTTTCAAATTAATAATTCTTTAATGAAGATTGAATTGAATTGCTACACTATACTACTGGTAAAAGCTTTCCCCATGATCATGCTTCTCCTTGCCATAACGTATGTCAGCTAGACCTCGGTTACTCAGTAACAGTCAGAGATAACATAATACCTTCGATTAATGGAAGAAACTTTTCACAAAATCTTCATACCTTCGTTAAACAGCAAAATTAATACCCGAATAAAAAAGGAGCGATAGGAAATGTCTGTCATTAAACCTCGAAAACGTACATGCAAGCACACTCGCAATAATTACCAGAATCCCGCTATATTACGGAACCGGTGGTCGAGTAACGAACTAAAAATCTCATAATACAGCGGAATGCGTTAACTACACTCTATCAAGCAGTGTTCATCACGCGTCACCCCCAAGAAACTAAATACTTAACTCCGGCTCCAGTTGCAACTGCAACGAAATAGCTGCAATACCGACGACAACGGAACGACATCGCGATCTAAGCGAATGAAGGAAACATCTCGGCTACTCAGAACCGAAAAATTTCCGAGAATTCAGCCCGGGGCATTCAGCTGCTGGAGCCCTGGCAGAACAGGCAGAAGAAGAGATACCGGGCCATCTCGCGGGACGAAAAACCACCCGTCGGCATCCTTATTCGCGGTCGACATATGGTCGCCCCCAGGAACGGCCAAGAGGAAGTCGAGTATGCACGACAGAGGAGAGCAGGTCGACCGATGGTTCCGCGTATTTTGGGACTACTTTTTCGAGGTGTCAGCCCGGTTAACGGGGCCGGGCCATTCGCTCCTATACGATGGGAAACGATTGTCAGGCTGCTCAGGTATCGGGTACACGTGTTTTGCGATAACGCTCGCGCAACAGACGGACTGCCGGCTCGTGATACGACCTCGTTAACCCGTTGCTTCGCGATTTCTTTAATGGCCGCCGGAGTACGCCTGCGCGCGCACACGCGCGCCACGCTTGGTTATTTAACCGTTCGAGCAGCGTGATAGATACTTCAGCTGTAATGGGGAATGATGGAATACGTACTAACTATCGAACGCTGGGTTTTAGAGCTCTGGGTCAGGGTTTAATTGGTTAATGGAACTCGCGGAAACGAACGAGGACGGTTTAATAAACGCTGGTAAATCAGAAATGACGATTTTGCTAGAGTTCCCTAGCATGCGGGGATGGTGATCTTTTTCTGGGGAATTTCAGAAGAAGGATGGAGAATTGCATGATACGAGAACGGTAGGTGAATGTTTGATTGATGTTAGGTGAAGAGTAACGTTTTTGGGTACGAATTAATTATTATTCGTGGTATAAATAACAATTATATGAGGATTTCGTGGGACGTGAATGTAGATATGTTTCAGGGAATTTTAGAGGTTAAATTATAAATGCTTGATGAATGTTGGGTAAAGAGTAATGTTTTTGGATACTAATTAAATATTATATGTGATATTATGAATAATAATTTTGTAAGGATGTCGTGGTATGTGAGTATAGAGATGTCTCAGGAAATTTTAAAGATTAAATATTAAATGAAGATCGATATTTTCAGGAGAATTTTAATAATAAAATGGAATTAAATTAAACAAATTAATCGGAAATAATGATTTTATGAAGGTTCTTTGGAATGTAAAGATTGTAAAGTTATTTTAATATGACAATGAGAATAAGAGGATTAATGAAGTTCTGTTGAATATATATACAATATCTACTTAATGATATTTTCCTGAAAATTTTATAGTTTGTGTAGATGCATTGTCTTTCCTTAATCTCAGGTTCAAGTTTGAGAACAGGTTAATATTGAATATATAATTAATAAATACTAATTTTAAAGCTTATATTGTATTTCTCATGATTAAATTATAAAAATGAAATTATCTAATCAATTCTAATATATTTTTAATAACCAACAAGGTTCTCTGTAATTGGAATAATATAACACATGAAGTAATTTATTAAACATAATATCTAATACACGTTGAAATTAAAATTCATTTTTATTCAACATTATACGTACATATTTCAGTTCTATTGAAAAATATCAGAAATTCTTTTCTATGGAAAATATTTCTAAAAGATATTATTATGTGTCACATCATGACATGGTATACTATTGTGAAATGACATAGACCCAACACGTAAAATGCGACTTCTTCAATTAGATAGAAAAGTTGTACAAGAATTCGTAGAGTTGGAAGTTCAGACCTCATTAGCAAGATGGTTTTTGCATTTCTGATATGATGAGACGCCTTTGTAGGTTATAACGAGGAATATTCATGAATCGAGAAAAGGAACAAGATTAAGTAACGCCCATGTGTCGATCTGGAATGTCAAATGCTATTTGCAATGAACCTAACCTCATTTCATAATTAATTAATCATATCGAAATTTTCACCGAAACTACTCTTTTCAAACAAAACGTGAATTTTGAGAAGCTTCGAAGTTTTAACTTTTTCGAATATTTTAAGAATTAAAAACTGATAAAAAATGAATCTCTAAAAAAATTATATTTGTATTGTTGCACAAAAATTATATTTTTCAATACTTTGCAAAAAAGATTCTTAAAAGTTTCCAATAACGTAACAATTTTAATGACACTTTTTTGTACAAATAAATTTTTATTTCTCATTTTGAATTTCAAATTTTATTCTTCCCATTTGTATGAATTATTATTTAATTTAATCTGATCTTAATCGTAACACAAATTAAATTTTATATCATAATAATTAATTTAAATACTCTATAATTCATTTTTATAATTCGATCGTAAGGCTTACTTAAAAGACTATTATATGTTCTGGTAATTTTATAAGCTTCGTTATGAGTCACTCGTATTTTTCCACGTAATAACTGTAAGATTAATTGTATCGTTGGCGTAATATCATTTGGACCATATTTATGTTATCGACGAAAACAAGAATTCCTTTTCATCGGACCATTAAAACTTATACTTAACAGAACTATCAATAATCAGCAATAAATCTATTTATCGTTTGAATTTTACGATGCTATATATCGACTATGTGTTTCCATTTATAGAGCTCCTTATTAATCGTAATAATTACAACTTTGCTGGCTTGTAAATGTATACTATAATAACCGACCTAATAAATAATTTTTATAAATTACCAAACGTTCGTTTTAAGTGTAAAAATTTTGTAATTTCCCTATTGTTAGTAGGAAGAAAATGAAATAAGTATCAATCTTCTCGTCGTTAAATCAATTAAACGACCCAACAGTGGAAATGGTTAGATTTACTTCCAGTCGACATCAGTGATATATCACAGAATATCTAGGAATTATTTCAGATATATCACGCGTAATTTGAATACTTTAAGAAATAGTATCAGGAAAAATAGAATAATTGGAAAACTAAAAACTAATAAAACAGGAAATTGAAAAATTAGAATACTGAAAAATAAAAAACTTGAGATTGGAACACTGAGAAATTAGAAATTAAAAAATAAGAAATTAGAAAGATTGGAGAATTAAATAATTTTAAGAAAAGTAAAAAAAACAGTAAAACAGAAAATTGAAAAATTAGAATACTGAAAAATAACAAATTTGAAATTGGAACACTGAGAAATTAGAAATAAAAAAATAGGAAATTCAAAAGATTGAAGAATCACAAAATGTTTAGAAAATTAAACAATAGTAAAACAGGAAATTGAAAAATTAGAAATTGGAAATAGAAAACTCAAAGAATAGGAAATTAAAAAATCCACGAACATTGAAATCTGTATGTAAATTTGAAATTGTAGAATTAGAAAGCTGCAAAATGTAGAAATAAAAAATTAGAAATTGCAAGCAGGAAAAATTAAAATGACTAGAGAAAGCATACAAACAATTCTTATATACACTAGAAATTCCTCCACTAAAGAAAAAGGAGGAAGAGGAAAATTAATAACAAAAGACTCAAATTCGAATTTGTACAATACGTTAATCAAACGTAGGTTCATCCAAGGCGTTCGCCTATTCTCATTCAGCACGCTCCTATATTAATATTAAATCCCCGTTGAGGCGCCTCGCTCGCATACCGCTCCATTGTACCCTAATGCAAATTGAAAGATAAAAGTGTGAGAATAAATGGTACAATGGGAACGCGACTAGTAATTCCTCGAATTAATCTCGCTGGATAAAACGAGAGAATTCATGATAAATCGAACACGGCGTGACAAGTGCGATGACTTACACTCTCATTAAGGTAACGAGTTGCATCCGTGCATCACGGTGCACAATTAAAGCGTGCATGTGTTTCCATGCTCACGCTATCAGCGTCATATACAGTTCGACCGCGATGACGCTCGGGCGTCATCGCTTTATCCTTGATTAATTAGTTCCTTAATTAATCAACCGCGGAACACCGCTCGACGTGACGATAATTATGCCGAGCGACATGCTGAAAATGATTACAGTTACTTTTGTTCGCGCTGTAGCGAAAGACGCCAAGGGACATTGCTTTTTTCAATGATAATTAACGCCGGTGAAATTGGGGTGAAAATTCGAGTGGCGCAAAAATGTTGAAAAGCGGCCAGTAACGGGACCCCATGGGTCGATTTAAATGGGTTTTT